GCCTGCAGCTCCCTCAGATGAACCAGAGGGAAAGCAGGGTCCTGGGGGGGCTGCGAAGGGGGACAAGCGCTTCACACGCCAGGCAGCGCTGGGCAGCCCGGCCAGATCCGTGGAGCAGGGCAGCAGCGAGCGAGAGGCTGTGTGTCCCTGGGAGAGCCTGGGCACGGAGCAGCCCCAGCAAAAACCTCGTGGTGGGAGCCCTGCAGGGCCCAAATCAGCATCAAAGAAATCCCAGAGTGGGGAGAGCCTGAAGGCTGAGGTCTGTCCTTGGGAGGCGCAGGAGGCTGAGGCAACCGACAAAGCAGAAATCTGCCCCTGGGAGACGGCTGTTCTACCATCAAGTAAAGAGAAATCAAGACAGGACAAAGATGTTCTGTCCACAGTGATCAAAAGCCCTCCTACAAGTCAAGGTGTCCACAAAGAGACTGGAGACAGCGCAGCTGCAAAGAAGGAGAAAGGAAGCGGAGATCGTGAGTCTGTCTGTCCATGGGAGAGCACAGACACGGAGCAGCCCCCAGAAAAACCCCGCACCAGGATCCCAGTGCTGCCCAAATCAACATCAAGGAAATCCCAGAGTAAGGAGAGCCTGAAGGCTGAGATCTGTCCTTGGGAGGCGCAGGAGGCTGAGGCAACCGATAAAGCAGAAATCTGCCCCTGGGAGGTGACTGCAGCTCTGCCGGAGAAAGGAGCAGCCCTGGGCGATGTAAGCGTCCTCCCACAAAAAGCGGGTCCCTCCAAAGCACTGGAGAAGGGGAGCAGTGAGCGCGAGGCCGTGTGTCCCTGGGAGAGCCTGGGCCTGGAGGAGCCCTCCCCAAAAACTGCAACAGGGAAGGAGCCGTCAGACAGCACAGAGAGCTGGAAATCTGATGTTTGCCCCTGGGAAGCAGCAGAGCCCACTGGGTCGGAGAAGACACACTTCAGCCCAGGCATGCACCCACCAGGAGATGGTGGAGCATCCCCCACTGGGACGGGGAAGTCAAAGCTGGTGTCTCCAACAGCCCCGCTGAAAAAACCCAAGGGCAGATCCACCGGCGAGGCTGGGCACAAACCCCTGTGCCGTGTCGTGCCGGGCATCCAGCCTCCAACAGGACCCAGGGCACAGCCTCCGGGGGAGAGCATGGCCCCCACAGCAGGGAGCAGCCCTGGCACTGCCACAGCTGAGGTTTGTCCCTGGGAAGCAGAAGAGGCTCTGCCAGCATCTGACCAGACCAGCACAGACACCAGGAGACCTCCCGAGGTGTGCCCGTGGGAGGTGGAGAGCATGGATCCCACCCGGAGCTCCCAGGACAGAGACAGGGGCGCGAGTGAAACCAAACCTGACGTCTGCCCATGGGACCATGAGTAGCTCTGTCCATCCAGGCATGGATTTCCATGCTGGAGCTGAAGGCTGCTGCCTCCTGCACAGTCCAGAAGGGGACAGAAGTGTCCACCAAAGCCAACGGGCGCAGCCACACTCGGAGCTTGCTCCAGTGGTGGCCATCAACCAGACAGGCTTGGGGATCAGCACAGCAAGGGGACAGTTCACATCTCCTGCCTTCATCAGAGCACTCGGGCCAGGCAGGAGCCTGCAAACACCACCCATCATTTACTCACAGGTTCTTTGGTCCAAGAGGGGCATCCAAATGCATGAAAGCTGCTCTCTGGTAGCTGAACATCCTCCTGCTGCATGGAGGTTTGTGCCACCAACACAGCGAGGAACAGCTTGCCTGGCACCCAAAAATATCCAGTCCTGCAGCCTCAGTGAGCTGGACACTGAAACAAGGGGTGAGCCAAACCAGGGGCAGCAAGAAAGAGAGGAAAAACAGCTTTGCAGAGCTCCTGCAGCCCACCTGAACCTCCCGAGTGCTGCTGTCACCTCCGTTCTCAGCCAGGGTGGTTTCTGTAAGCACTGCAAGGACTAGGAAGGATAAAGAGCTGCATCTGTATGACATGTTTTGCTTCCTTGACACAAAGTCAGTGATTTTTGAAAGTCCTCTGAAGTCACTGAGCCAGCCACTGTGCTTCCACGTATGCAAAGCAAAGCTTTCTGCTCCGTTTTGGTTCAGCAACACCAGCCCAGTGCCTCGACACCGCACTGTGGCGGTGCCATCTGCTCCACCACTCGACCTCTGTGGGATAAACCAACCTTCGGGCTGCTCCACCGCTCTGCTTTTGGCAACCTCTGCATCTGTGACGGCCAAGATGGGTATTCCTCACCTCCTCTCTGATGGTATGGCACTGCTGCACTTCTAACTCTTGCAGCAACTCAGCTGTGAAGGTGTTTGTCTTAACAAACAACGCCACTCACTTTGCAAAGCACTTTGTTGCTCTGGTTTCTTCTTTGCTTGTACCGTGTGTGCAAACGCACCCAGGGTTCACTTCAGAAGAGTGTTTCCATCAGTATCTCCCCTGGCACTAGCAAGCCTTCACTTTTACAGCCCATCTGTAGAAGCGCTGGATGCCTTTTGTCATCCCAAATTTCAACTTCTTCCTGGATTCCTAAGACCCATTTCTTTGGGGCAGGGATGCGAACAGACTCCAGTACAACAGGGGCAGGAAAGCAGCAGCTGGGAACCAACAAAGCCCCAGATTTGTCCCTCTGCTCCACTTCGATAGAAGCAAATAAGAACAGAGGCAGCAGAAGTGAAGGCTTTGTCTCTCCCTCTCATCTCTACACAAGGTTGGGGCTCAGGGCTCATCTGGATGTTTCTTTGTCGTTGACTCTCCGTAGGAAGCGGCGTTGCTGTAGCGTGCTGTGGTCTGCAGCGCTGAGTGTCAAACGCTCATCCAACGGGCTAAGTAAATGTACATACAGAAAATAAAAGGCATTATCTACAGAGTGCATGCTTAGTGGCTGATTTGTGGCGTGTGGGTAAGACTAAATATGCTGAAGGAAGAGGCACAAGAGAAAGTATTGAGGCTATGAAGGAAATCCAGAACCAGGAGTGGTTTAGTGGCAGAGGTTTGCATATTACAGAATCACAGAATGTTAGGAGTTGGAAGGGACCTTGAAAGATCATCCAGTCCAACCCCACTTGAATACCAGCAAAGGGGATGGGGAGAAAAGGCCGTTCTCCCAGAAAAAACAGCCACTCCACCAGAAATCACGCTTTCCATCCAGAGCCAGAGCTGAAGAACCTTGAGTGTTGGTTGAGGAGTCACGTCCATACCTGCTGGTAACGGCCTGAGTCTCACCAGACACAGAGCAGGCAGCTCACACACATTTATTTTAGCTCCCAGCCCAGCTCGGGTGTGCTGGAGCACCCAATCTCCCCTCAGCTCGTGAAGGGGGCATAGGCAGGAGGCTCGATGTAGCAGGTTCTTTCAGGAAAGGCTGACAGACTGTGACACTTCTGGTTTCCAAAAAGATGAAAGGGATTCCAGCGCTGGCTGCTCTCCTAGCGGAGCACAGAGATGATGTTCTGCCCTTTCAAAAGAATGTCATTCACGAGAAACACTCAACAACTCTGTGAGCATGAGGAGCCATGACTCTCACTGCATACTCTGTAAAATCTCTTTCAAGGAAGAAGAAAAAATGCACTTAACTGTCCCAAGCTTTGGAAAACCGCTGAGTTTTTTTAGCGGGGCATGGCTGAAAGAGAAAACACTTCATTGTTTGGTGACTAGTGAGTACTTGGCTCTGTGATCAGGAATAATTGGAATTTATTTGAGCAAAACAGAGCAGGAACGGCTTCGCAGAGCACACACTGGCTTACTCCCAGCCATAGAAAAAGGTAACCTCTGGGTACGTGGTTTTCCCAGCCCACGCAGCTGCAAACCCAGGGGACCCGATGCGAATGTCACCGTGTCCACAGGATGGTGCCAGCCACTCACTAACAACATCCCATCGCTGAATTCATGAGCATCCGCAACCAATGCATCAAAACCCATCAGCTTTTCAAGGAGACACTGGGTGACACAAACACTGACGTTAGGAGTCAAAAAATTTTATTGAATTATCACTGCTGTGCTGCAGCCCCTTGAGGAAGCTTGGCCATTAACAAGCACTCATGTAATTGCAGGAGGATTTGATTTAGTGTGCTTGCTGCTCTTCCCTGTTTTCTGTTAAAAAAAAAGAAGCCTGGGAAATCAGTACAGAGAGGGAAAGGGGAGGGGAAAAGGAAGTACCCACACCTACTGCTGCAAGTTTTAATGAAAGCCCATTTCTGGGACATTTCCCATGGAAGTGCCAAATATCCCACGCCTGGACAGACTGCTGCTGCCAAGGGCTCTCATGATACAAGTTTGGTACAGAGGTTAGTCTAGGGAGAGGTCCTGAAGAGAACAAACTTCTCATCTCCACAGAAACAAGAGATGTAAGCTGCAGCACACTCAAGTCTACTTGGACAGAGTAAGTTTCTTCTCAAAGCTCATCCAAATCCCCTTTCCAGGCCTCTCTCGCTCCTTTAAACACAACTTCTTAGTGACTGGAGTCCATTTCTGAAGCTGCTTTGTTTGTTGGCTGCTCACTGGAAAGGCACAGCCATATCCAACCTGACACCTCCAGAGCCGTTTGCTCCACTATCTCTGTACGGGCTCTGGAAATTCCTACTTCATTTCCTCATACTCTTTTGAGGGATCCAAGGTCGGTCCAGGAATCATCACAGTCTGAAAAAGCAAAGAACAAAATCAGCAGGACCCAGGGCAGCTCTGAACTGCTGTAACAGGAATTCTTTGTGTTACAGAGCACGAGAAAGGGTGCGCAGGGGGTTCTGGCAACGCAAAGGCCTCGCACAGGAAGGTGAGCAGATGGCAGCAGTGTGGGGGAGGACACAAGGGGGAATGGGATGACACGGCCTTGTCCTACACAGCAGTTGTCACCTCCTTCCTTTCTAGGACCTGTTTCAGTAACACAGGAAGACAGAGCACCTGCATTGTTATGCCAGGCTATGTACAGGGAGCAGTAACACCCTAAATTATCACACGTGTCAAATGCCCTCAGTCTCCTCTTCCAGCTTCCAGGTGCTCGAGGCTGATAAGCCTATATTATTAAATAGGTCTGCTTGTAGATTAATTTCTTCCCATGACAGAAAGATCAGCTCTGGTTTTGTCCAGAGGTAACTTGGGACCTACGTTTCACAGGCACAGCCCACCCTGGTGGCATTACCTTAACAATTGGGTCCTTTGGCGGAGCCCACTCTGGGACAATCTTGCCGTGCATCCTCCATGCGCCATACGGGTTGACCAAGTACCTCTCAAACACAACATACTCCAAAACGTCCTTGGGCACCTCCTCCCCACCATACATCAGCCGCCCAAAGCGGTCATAGATCGCCAGAATCTGTAAAAAGAGCCAAGGAAAGGTAGGTTGGGCTGGCAGCAGGTTGGAGGTGGGAAACGCGAGGGGCACAAGGGGACGCACCTGCCGCGTGTGCATCCGCACCGTCACCTGGCCATACAGGTTGCCTCGATTCACGAGGCTGTCACAGCGAATGTGAACCACTCTTGGAGGCTCCAGCGACTCCACAAACCTCCACCGGATCGTCTTGTACCTGTTCCCACGGACCATTTCCTACACAGGACAAAATAAGCACCAACTTAATTAGGATGTGAATTGAATGTCAAGCAAACTACTATATAGAATAAAGCATTTATTCATTAGCTATTAGACTGGTGCTTTCCCTCCTGGCTCTGTCTTTACTGTAGCCAGAAAAATAAGAGAGATGATGAAATTTAGAGAGCCTTAGAGACCATGGAAGAAATCAAGAACATGCTACGTCCAGATCAAGACTCACCGGGTAGCAGTGCTCTGTCACCAGGGAGTGAAGTTTCTGCTTGTTAAAACTGCAAGCAAAGCACACCCAGTTACTCCAATACACAGATTGCAAAGAGAATTACTCACAAATTCCTGCTTCTCCAGGAGACACAATCTACTGGCAAAAGAGAAAAAGCCAAATTCTCAGCTGTGATCTCAGCACGAAATCAGAACACGAACGCAAGCTGGTGACAACACTTCAGGGAAAGACACAACATCCTTGGGAAGCCAGTTATGACCTACATGTTTTATTGATGTTTGGAATCATAACCAAGAATAATGCTGGTTTGAAATCTGTTCTATTACTGGAAAGCGGAGCGAGCCAGTGGAGTATCATTCCACATCCAAACAATTCCCTGCAGTGTGAGCCTGAACAGCGCCAACCACCCACTCATCTGCTGATAACACCAGTGCTGCCACAGCTCAGCTGCTGTGCAGGTGAGGCTGAGATTTATTTTCTGCAACCTCCTTTTCACTATCAAAAGCGAATGGGTACTGACCCAATCTCCAAGGCTCTGCTCCTCGCAGAGATGGGGTCAGAAAAAGATAAAAGTACTTGTTGCAGCGGAGGTACAAGGAGCAGAAAGGAAGAAAACTAGAGCGTATAAGCAAAGAGAAGCAGGTCCGACATAACCACATCAGTCAGAGAAGGGATCTTACTTTGCCAGGCAATTGTGAGCTTCAATAAATATCTCCTGCGCCTTCTCCGGGAAGGTTTTAGTGCTGAAATCCGGATCGTGATCTTTCACCTTCCGCAGACTGAAAAGACAAGAAAAGCCCTGCAGTGAGTAAAGAACGACTTGGAAGCACCTCACGTTTCAGATGACAGCGATCTTATCCAGTTCATACCCAGCTTTCACCAGGGAACCACTGGGAACTGGAGATTCCCCACCAAGACACAACCTCTAGGTGCTCACAAGACAGAAACTGCTGCAAACCCAAAGAATCACCAAAAAATGAGTGCACACTGCATCCGTTCACACCAGGATAGGCGCCTTGTTCGTCCTCACACCATGAGCTCCCGGTAAAGTGGTACAACAACAGCGGAAGAAACGGGTAGAAAATAAAATGCACCATCTCACCACCACAAAACAGAACCAAACAAAACTTCTGCGCCACAGACCAAATAAAAAGGAGGTACACACGCTAGCTTGGAGGCAGCGGTCTGCTTCAGCTGCTCCATCTTTTGCTTCAGCCCATCTTTGGATAGAGAAGACAAGCGGGCATCGCCCTCAGGAGGGATGTACTGGTCCATAATATCACCTGCATGGGGGACAAGAAGGATCAGGAGGAGGTTCAAAATCAGCAAAACAAAGGAAACAAAGAGGGGGGAGAGGATTCCGCACCGATAATGTTTGTGATATTGAATATGAGCACACAGAACTGTTAGTCTAACACGCCTTGCCAGCAGTGACAAGTGCCTGCTCTCTGCTCTTCTCTTCCCTGCACCCCAAGACAGAAGACACAATTGGCAGCAGGGAACATAACCTCCCTTGCTATTCCTTGCTCCTAGGTAGGAAGAGGCCAGCAGCTGGACACACTTCTGAGGTAAAGCAGGGCAGCTGCTGTCCCACTCCAGGAGGCACAGTGTGTAATTTGGTCTATCGCAGACGCTCCCGGTCAGCACGGTCACACCACTTAGACCAACTGCTCCATGCTGCCTCTTTACATTAGTTCTGCCCTTGAGAAAAGACCAAAGCAAGCTTTCTACCACCTGTGCAGGCCAAGTAGAAGGTCCTTTCTACACGTTCATCAGGAACTACTATCCCCGAAGACTTGAGTCTCCTCTTCTTCTCTTCAGGGGTCAGCTCTCTGGCCCATTCGGGGACAGAAAACCTCTTCTTTGTTCTCACTGGGACAAGAAGACAGGCTGGAGCCGCTCCAGGACGGAGCATGGACTCCGCAGCCTAAGAGAGAGAAACAACAAAGCTGCAGAGTTCACCCAGCACCCAAGAAACACCACCAACATCCAGAGATTTATTTCCCTTCACACCTCCCTGTCTCATGTAAATACACCTTACATGGCCACCTGTAGCCCTCCCTATCCCACATTCCCTCGTCCCTGACTCCCCACATCCCTTACCCCGTGGCTCATGGACTCCGCAGCCTAAGAGAGAGAAACAACAAAGCTGCAGAGTTCACCCAGCACCCAAGAAACACCACCAACATCCAGAGATTTATTTCCCTTCACACCTCCCTGTCTCATGTAAATACACCTTACATGGCCACCTGTAGCCCTCCCTATCCCACATTCCCTCGTCCCTGACTCCCCACATCCCTTACCCCGTGGCTCCTC